CGGTAGGGGGCAGCAAGTGGTGTGGGCATGGGACTCCTACGTGGCTGACTGTGGTTCAAGTCTCGGATCTGGTGGCTTGCTTTCTCACTTTCTCTCAATCTGTCCCTCTGGTCAAATTAAAAAAAGAAAGAAAGTTAAATCTAAAAAAAAAAAAAAATGAGAACTTTTTTTTTTTTTGAGAGAGATTTTTGCTATAGGGTGTATGTGCCCACCAGAGAGCTACAAAGAGAAGAAAGCAAAATCACTCCCCCAGGGAGGACAGCTATGCACAATCCCTTCTCCTCCATTCTCTTCTCAAGATCTTGGGCATGCACACTCACACATACCTGGCTTGAGTTTTAAGTTGCCAGGTCTAGGACTCCAACCACGGTCCACTACATGAGTCCAATGACATTACCTCTACACCATCTGCTGGTCCTGCCCCCAAAGAATTCTGATACGTTCCGCTTTGGTCATATCCCACATCCCTCTGGAGTGTTGGGGCCAAGGCCCACCCTCACTCCTCAATGTCATCCTACTGCTATCTTCAAGATCAGAATACCTGATCTCTTGAGATTTGTCCCTCTAGCGGCTCACCAGGGCTTCCCGCCTTTCTTCCTGAGCACTCCCAGAGTGCTCCTTAGTACCATGGGTGCTTTGCCTAGGCCTGGATCTCCTCACCTTCATATCTGAAAGAAGCTGCAGACCATCTCCTGGCCTATGGCAGCTGATGGCCAGGTTGCAGAAGGTCTGCATGTTGGGGACGATTCCCCTCTTTGCCAGGACTGGGAGCAGCGCCTGTGGAAACAGATATGGCATCACTGTAACCAAAAGACCACCAGCCCCGGCAAGAGCAAAGGCCAAAGCCCTGTTCAGAGGCCTCGCTGCTCCCTCTGTGGCCTATACTGTGCCACTAGCTTCAGCCTGGCATTCAAGGCAGGACTTCCTCTCCAGCCTACCTCCCAGGAACCAGCTCCCCAGAGCTCAACCTCTGTGTATATGTACCCTGACTCCTACTTGTCTGAAACACCCTGCCCACCTTTCCTGTGAATGCCCTTCATAACCCTACCCCTCTCACCTACTGCTACAAGCTCCTCTGCTGGCCAGCCCTACACTTGGTCCTTCAAGAGCCAGGGACCTTCTAATCTCTCAGTTTAGAGCAGGCCAAAAAGCTGATTCCAGTAATGTGCTGGCTGAGGGAGCTGCCCTCACAGCCTGGCCATGTCATGGAGAGTCCCCGAGAAGGACCCCTCCATATTTAGCGTGTCCAGAGGGAGGTGTGCTCTATACAGTGGCCCTGAAGGTAAGTCTCTCACTTTCAACCCACATATGCCCAGGGTAGTGTTTCTGGCAAAAAAAAAAAGGTAACACATAACATTCTGTTGTATGAACAGACAAAAATCCAGTAAGTGCCCAAACATCCCCTTCTGTGACATGGGGGAAGCTACATACCACATGCCTCCTGGTGTGACTAAGGTAAAGAAACTAACTGATGTGAAGCTCTCAGAAGAGCATCTAGCAAAGAGGAAGTACAATGCTGGGGGCATGTAAAAGTGAGAACACTTAGTACCATAGGGGGACCCTGAGAGACTCCTCCTCGGGTAAATTCTCAGTCTCAGCTGAGTGACACCTCAGCCACATTCCCTGTAGCACCTATACCCCTACTAGGGTTTCTGCCTTCTCCCTCATCTGTGACCTCCATGAGGAAGGTCTGGCTAGTTCGCTGTTCCCTCAAGGCTTGAGGGCAAGGGTCTCAGTAACCACATCCCCCAAGGAATGACTGACAGGCCTAGAACAGGAATTACAGACATGTCTGCTGCCAATGGCAGGCCAATGACAAACCAGGCATGTGGGCCAGACTCCACAGTGCAGAGGTCAGAAGAGGGAAGGGGAGGAGGGTTCCCAATGAGAGCCCAATGCCTATCTCCAAGCCCCTTACCTTTGCACCCTTTAGGTCTCCCAGCTTGCTCTTCTTCCTCACCAATGTGTTGAAGAATGTCACATCAGCCTCCACCTGGTGCGTATCCAGGGTGGCTAGCAGTGAAGCCTCCGCAGAGCTCCCAGGCTCCACCATCTCAGCCAGCAATGTAAGGGTTCTGATGTTTGGCTGCAGCCCATGCTCTGCCATCTTGCCCAGGAAGCCTTCCAGGCCTCCCATCAAGGCCAGCCGGTCTGCTGGTGTGGTCACTGTCCCAAAAGAGACCACAGCCGGTGAGATGGTCCCGGGCATCAGGAGGTTGGCCTGTAGTTCCAAGGAAGGTGGCTCCGGGACTACAGGGGTAAGGGCTGTGGTGTGGTCAGGCTCTGCAATGCTTTCTACTTTAGGTTGGGCCCTGCTGGGCACTTTGACCTCCCGAGGCTCTGGAGGACCCTCCAATGCCTGAGAAGGTTCCAGAAACAGCTTCCTCTCCAGGGATTCCACATGTAGCTTGACTAACATGCCATCGCTTGCCCCAGCCTGAGTGTTCTTCCTTGTCCACTGCTGCCGTCGTCTGCCTGCTGGGGGCTGGAGCAGGACTGTCTCCTCCTTGGGTCTCAGAAGCAGCTCTGAAGCCACCTCTGGGTTCCCCAGGCCACAGTCCCGAGCTGCAACCAATAGTAGGTTGTAGCCATGCTGGCTCGGCTTGAGCCCCAAATTCAGCATCAGCCTCCACACCTGCTCAGGGACAGACAAGCATCAACTTCATGCTCCCACCTCAGAAGAGCCTTCAGTAAAGGAGGGCACTGGAGGTTGGCAGGCAGGTCAGCAAATGCAAAAGGTATAGAAAGAAGCGGGGAAAGGAACCTACCAACTCCAGGCTTGGGCAACTAAGAATGTTCAGGATTTGGGGGAGGCCTCCCATCCTTTCTCCAGTTCATGCCAGAATTGTTCCAACAGTCTTATCCCTCTACCCTCCCAGGATCACTGAACCAGGGATCTGTGCCCACCTTCTCTGTGTGTTCACCTAAGGAAGTGACAGCCAGAGAGGCTAAGTTCTGGGAGAGTCTAGACAGACCTTGAAGGCTAGGGTTCAGCAAAATCTCTGGGGTCTGAGGCTTAGCCACTTGGACTTCCTTGAGAGTTGGCACGGAGTGGTACAGGGTTGAGTGGAGAGAGACTTGGAGCCAGCAGAGCATGGTGGTGGAGAAAGGCAAGCTGCAGCCAATGCTCTGCTCTCCCATCATGAGCTATGGATTCCAGAGTCTCTGTCTCCTCACAACCTGTTTCCTCATGAGCTGAGATTGTTCTCATTTCTGCAGCACATGTCTGGTACATTCAGTGTGCAATCAACAAATGCAGTCCTGACACTCACTATGACTGTGCCATTTCTTAAATGCCACCCAGGCTCAACAGGATCCATACTAAATATGGAACCAGAAGCACGTACCCAATGTCTTCCCCCACCAGACATGAGCATGCAGATGGGACAAGGGTGGAGGGGTTAGGCTCACAATGGGCAAACTGTGGGCTGTGGCTTAAGGGCAAGGGTCTCAGCAGCCATCCCCCCAAGGAATGGCTGACAGAATGGAGGTTTGGCAGGGACATAAACTCTGTCCCCTGGAAGCAGAGTGTGGTAGCAGGGATTCACAGCTCTAGAGTCATGGGGACTTTCAAGTCCCAGCTGTGCCACTTGGTGGCTGTGGGACCTTAGGCAGGTTACTTAACTCTTTGAGCCTAGATTCCCTTACCTGTAAAATGGGGCTAATGGTGCCCAGCTCAAGCAGTTTAGCAAATACACAGCAGTAACTGGACTATTAGCATGATACGTTACTTCTAGCTAGGACAGATCTAGCCAAGTAGGGAGAACTAGATCGTGAATGGTTTTCACCATTAAGAAGCTTGCTGATGGCCAGAGGATAGCAGGCCAGTGGCGACTACCTCCAGGGAGTCTGTAGGCAGGTAGGCACTTGGTCCAGGGCTGCCCAGATTACGAGACTCAAACTGTGCAAGATCCACCTAGGATCTTGCTGTAATGTAGATTTGGACCCACGAGGTCTGGGTGGGATTCCTACATTTCTGGCCAGGTCCCAGGGTAGGTGGATGCTGTTGGTCTGTGGCCCACACTCAGCGCTGGAGGGCTCAGGTCTTACTACCTCTGAGAAACTTCATGAAAGCATACGTGGTACCAATGCTAACACTAACTCCCCACCTGATAAGAGGGATTATCTCTGGGGGTCTAAGGTGGGATTAGAGCAGTGTGTTCAACTTTGACATCTGTGAGAATCTTGAGCGGCACCAGCAGAGATACTGAGTTTAGGGGACAGGGCTGTAGGGTGGATTAAACAAATATTGCAGGTGAGCATGCTGCAGGCATTCAGGGACTATAAGTTTAGTGGGTCTGTGCTCTCTCCACAGAAGGCTGCCTGAGGATGACTATGCCCATACTTAAGAGGCAGCCTTAGCACCTCCGCAGGTTCCTCTCCCTGCCAGCCACAGTGGTTGCTGGGAAGGCCAAAAGATCATAGGTATAAAACAAGACCAGCATAGGAAAGTAGCAGGTACCCATGAAATGCAGACAAAACCATAATTCTATAGCGCTGGGAGGTGTGTGGGGCAAGCAGGGCAGGAGGGACAGACCTGAAGGGCACATCGGAAGCCTTTCTCCTTGTCCTGGATACAGCCCATCAGCAGG